TCGTATGCAGATTAAATTCTTTCACATCTCCCGACCTCAACTGAAGATGCTTCGCATACAAGATTCCTGAATTTCAGGTTTTTGCGAAGAAAATACTGGCGTTTAACTGTGAAGGAGAAAAAATATCACGGCAACAACCGATAACCTATAATGGACCCCGGCTAAATTCAAAGTACAGGGTTGATCGAGATTATTGGTAATCTAAACAATCACAGATTTGTCCAAAAGAGTAATAATCAATTCAGTTCATTTCTTTTGTAAATGTCGGACTGATTTGCGTAGTGTCTAATGTGACTGTATATCTTCTTTGTAAGCGGATGATAAGCGACCAGTGGTGTTCTGGTCCTTCAGGCCCCATGCTAATCTCGAGGCCCTTTTCCAGCAGTGAACCGATCAAAAGCTCATAAACGTGGATTTATCTTTTTTTTATTTATTTTATGGTACTGTAAAAGGAGAATCCTTATCGAGTGATCAAAAAACTGCAAAACTACGCTACCGTCAAAATACAATCCTCTCCTTCCTGAAAACATAGAGCTAACCAGTAACTTAACGTATAGCAAAGAATGCCAGCGAAAGAAAATAGTGGAGATTATAAAATGAAGTAGTATATGAAGTATTTGATGTCAACGTAGCCACATGACCATAGCCTGCGTGGCAGGCCCATTGAATATGGGCCTGCAACAATCTCAATAGTTAATGCGACATCAATTTGATATCAGATTTCCTGACAAATAAAGATATCAACGTGTGAAATTAGCTGAGACTTGTTGTTCAAAATGGGGCCACCCATGGAACTAAGTTAGTACCTTGGTTATTCATTTTTCTAATAAATGTTCTAAAAGTAATTCAAGCAGACTTCTGGAAGTGCATTGATCATTCGACGTATCAGAAATTGTTCCGAAAGACTCTATTAGTAATGCTCAAAATATTACAGATGATGTGATTATCTGGTATCTGGTATAATGTAAATAGGATGTAACTTAATTAATTTAATTGATTACAGTGGAATGACCCTCAAATTTTTCTCAAATTTTGGAAAAAATTTAAAAATTTTTTGGTTTTATATGATGCCTATGTTACCGAAATATACTCCTATGTTGCTTTCTCCATGATTTTATGCCTAAAATGTGTTTATTTTAAGGGTTTTTTACTGGATGTTCACTCGTTGCTATGGAAACAAATTTGTTTACCCTTTGTTTTTTGCCTATAGAAGCGAACTTGTTTACAAAATTTTCCGTAAAAAGCGTGGGATATTTAGGGAAGACTGGGCTCTAATCTAAGCTTTTCCCCAGGCCCCCTACGAAACGCGCAGACGAAAAAAATAACATTCTTTCTAACATTGTGATCGAGGGTAATTTTGCGAAAATAAAATGGGAAAATTTGCTACACAGAAGCGTAAAAACGCCAGTTTTGTGGCAATCGACATAATAATAATCATAATAATAATAATAATTACAATATTTAGTCAGGGAGTCCACTCACGAAAGTGATTTTCAGTGGAGCCCTGATAAAAAAATAATAAAATAAAAGAATAAAAATATATATCTAACAAAAGTGAATATATGAAAGGTTAAATTGTATAAAGTTCTTGCGCATCCTATCAGACATACTAAACGTTCTCGTGTTGAATATGAGGGAGAGGGCGAGCCAGTAATGCAAGAAAATAACGAGGAAAGCGAGGTTTCTTTGAGTGCTGATGAGGGCAACGTGGGCGCCATTCCAGCTGGAATTTCAGTGTCCTACAGGAAGCTTCAGCCTCGTGTTCGGCAGAATTCCAGTGAGAAAAGAACCCCTAAACCTTCAACGGAAAGTTCTCAAGGCACTTATGGATTCAGGCTTTGTGATATGGAACTATATATTGGAAATGTTTTTTCCATATTTGTCAGCTTCCCAGAATGTATACAACACAATGGAGGAAAATAGTATCAAACGTAAAGGTTGCGCTTCTAAACTCCACCTCACTTGCGCACCAAAACTGCAAATGGATGCATTTGTCTTGGATTTCAAAACGAAAAACAAAAGAGTTTTGAAGTAAATTGACGATTAGTGTATGGAATGCGAAGGATTGGCAATGGTCATGCTGGTACATCAAAGTTTTGCTCTGTCATGAACATGCCACCACCACCTAGACCAAAGTCTTTCAAGAATTCATCTCGTGTCATTGCTAAGCATGCAAAGACAGTTGCTAAGAAGAGCATGAAAGCAGCTGCAAAAGAAGTGTGTGTTTTGCAACAAAATGAAGATATTGATGGAACAAATCCTGTAAACTGTGGTATTTGATGTGACAGTACCTGGCAATGAAGGGGACATTCATCATGTAACGTTACATGTTTGTGTTACGGTTATGTCGATGGATAGCGGGAAAGTTCTTGATGTTGAGACACTGAGTCACTGACTACATTTTGCAAAACAGGCAATCATTAAACTTTTAAATCTACTGGATATTACTCCTGGCAAGTATACAGAAGTGGCTTGTCAACTTGAAGACAAGTTGAGACAAATCCACGCCCGAAGTTAAAAAGAGGCGTAAAGTGATGAGAGGACTGAAAAAAAACAAAAGTGTGACAAAAACAAACAGGGGGAGGGAGTAAAGTATGGTGCTGGAGAGTTCTATTGACTTTTAGGGACATGAAGTGTTTTTGGTAGCCAATTACATAGTATGAAAAGTTTAAACTGTATTTTCTCCAATAAACGATTTTCGCAAGGTTTGTAATCTGCTAACAATGATATCTCAAAAACAATTTAAAAGATTTGGCTAAAATTTTCAGAGGATGTTTACTTCATCAAAAGCTATGCAATGAACTAGAATGAAGTGATTAGATGAAATACTTTTTGTGCTATAAGCAAAAATGCATGCTGATCATGATTAAATTTCAGGCGCACATATTGTTTCATTCAGAACTTAGAAACTATTTATCTGATTTAACATCTTTTAGTTCACTGCATGGGTCTAGTAGTGCTTATTATTTTCCCAAAGTTTCATAGACAAATCTTAAATTACTTTCGAGTTGTCATGTTTGGCGCAATGGTCCGCTGCAAGGCGTTTCGAGCTGTTATCTTGGTAACCATGGCAACAGCATATGTCGAACTCACATACATGTAAATACTTTTTTATGGGCTTTCATAATATACCATTTAAACTTTATTTCTGGTTTTAAATATAAAACAAATATTTTGAGGGTCATAAGTGTAAGGAACTACGAATCACGTTCAACGCTGAGTCGATGCCCTTAGAACCAATTAAACTCTTGGGTCAACTATTAACAATAAACTAACAAGAAAACCTCTAGATGAAGTGGTCAAAAGAGTTTAAAAAGACTTGATTTGCTTAAGCAATTTAAGCGTGCAAATGTTCCATGTAAATACTTAGTCACTTTTATACATCATGTGTTAGATCTGTCATGGACCATGCCATAAGAAACAGCTATAACCATTATCATGCCAAAAGAAAATTATTCTGGTACACTAAATTTACTTGGTATGTTCCACAACCATCAAGATCATCACAATTCTATCTCTGTGATAAGCTATTTCAATCTGCCGTGTCTGACTCAAACAATAGAATTCATAATATGTTACCAGATAGAAATTAATTTAGTTCCAATTTAAGATATGGAAGAACGTTCAATATTCCTATGACTCATACAAATAAGTTCCTTGCTGACAGAGGCCTCTAAAAACGCTTTTATAGCTACATACGTGCAATGGGTCAAAAGCTAACAATAGTTAACAATCATCCTTTCCTTGAATTTTAGAATAGTTGAGATTTAAAATATTTTTACTAATCTTTATACAGGTAGTATAGTAGATAGCATACATAATTATGACATCATGTATGTACATATATTGGTTTTAGCTTAGTATTTATTGTAGAAATTACGTAATTAAGCCTTCGTGGCTCCAAGAAAGATATATATATACACTACTAACAGATGGGAATTTTGTTGTCGCTGGTCAATAAATTGTGGGCGCTCGCGAAAAATTATTTCAAAATGGAAAAAATAAACACGCGGCGGGTTTAAGATTTATTTTCCATGAAATTTTCTACTCAAAGACAACTTTAGAAAGTTTATTACCTCCGCCAGGAGGTTATGTAATCATCTGGGTTGGTATGTGTGTGTGTGTATGTGTGTGTGTGTGTATGTGTGTGTGTTTGTCTGTGAGCACGATAACTCAGGAAATACCAAACATATTCATACGAAATTTTTTGAGTGCATTTCCCATCGGCTAAGGAAGAACTGGTTAAAATTTGGTTGAATTTGGTTAAAAATTGAACGAGAAATGAACAAAATTTTGTCCTGCTTTTCCCGGTCAATTAAAAAAAACTCACTGAATGCGTAATTAGGACGTTAATGCACCAATTCGTTAAGCAAATATTCTAGGACAATTAAGAAAACAACTATGACACACACAATGTTGTGGGAGAAGGGTTGTCGAGGAGAAATGCTCCGATTATACTTTAAACTGTTGCCAAAGTGTCGCCCCACAGACTCACTATTACAGCAATATGATTATGATATAATTATATGTCCTCAGGGGGTTGTGGTTCCCCCATGTTGGACTTTACCCAAGGGGTAGTAGATCCCCGAGATGGGCATCTTAAATGTCCAAGGGATAGTAGATCCCCGTGATGGTCATTGCTTACTTTAATGTCCAAGGGGTAGTAGATCCCCGTAATGGGCATCTTAAATGTCCAAGGGGTAGTAGATCCCCGTGATGCAGTGGCGGCGGAACAGGGGGGCTAGGGGGGCTAAAGCCCCCCCAGAAGTAAAAAAAATTGTTTTCCTGGGAAAATTTAGATAATTAAGGAAAAATGTAGGTTATTTTTGGAAAATTTAGGTATAAGGGGAAAAATTTGGGATATTTTGTGTAAAAATCGAGTATGTCCGGAAACATTTTTTGTTACAGGTCCGGAAAAAATTTTTTCATCCCTTTTCTTGTATATGTCCGAAAAAAAATTTCTACCCCTAAAATGGTACACTGACCGAAATTTTTTTGACGGCGGGGGGGGGGGGGTCACGGAAAAAAATTTAGCCCCCCCAAACTGAAATCCGTTCCGCCGCCCCTGCCGTGATGGTCATTGTTTACTTTAATGTCCAAGGGGTAGTAGATCCCCGTGATGGTCATTGTTTACTTTAATGTCCAAGGGGTAGTAGATCCCCGTGATGGTCATTGTTTACTTTACAATACACTGTATAATACATTGATTTGTGTGAGTCTATGGTGTTGAGGGTGACCTTTGGGAGCACTCCATCCCCACAAATACACAGCATGTGTATTCCCCATAGACGAAAAAACCCAACTCCCACCACAACTGTAATCGTATAGAAGACAGATGATCTTTGTGCTTTTCGAAGACATGTCGTCTATATTTCTCTTTCGACACACTTTAAATAATTAATTGATTAAAATCATGTTATATGCAAATAGAATTTTTTTTTTTTTTTTTTTAAACTACAAGTTTATCGTAAGACATATATTTAAGCATTACCATCACTCATACTACAGCTGGAACATCAGGGAGGCCAGGAAAAACCTGCAATATCTTTACAGGAAACCTGGATGGAGCCAAGACAACCAGCAGCTTCCCCACAAAGCTTCTATCTTACAGGTGCTTGATTGGAGCGTTGGTAACACGACAAATAAAGCTCACTATCATTTTTTTTTTTTTATTATTTTTTTTTTTTTTGTTTTCCTTACGATTTATTTATTTTTAATGTCAATGTGTTCGATAGCAATTTTGCAACATGTATTTGTTAACCCCACTTATTTTATTTGAATTATGATTGGCGGAACTTGACATAATATAATTCTCGAATTATATGACTTTAATCTCAGGAAAAATAGCTTGTTCAATATTTTAAAATAGCAGGATCAAAATGCAATTCAGGTGTTTATAACCACAGTGTTGTGATTGAACATGCAATCATGCATGCATGTATGAGAGTAGCAGCTAGAAATTGTAAGAATATGTATTTGGTAGACTAAAAAGATCATGCAGTATAGTGATAAGACATTAATGAATTTTCATGAGTAACCAATCTTTCATGACATATCCAACTTGCCGATTTATCGCAAATGTAGATAAAGTAGATCCTAATTTTCTCTCACACATGAACTTGATTTCCTATGTTGTGCCCAGTAAGGTATTGATAATGTATACGGTCCAAATTAGTGTTTGTTTTATTAAAGAGTGCCCTGAAATAGCTAGAAAGGAAGTTTTATATAATCTACATTTTAATGATTGAATACAGTTTAATGTGACGCTTTATTGAAACCCAATCCCCGAATCAGATGCCCAATCTGGCCGGTTAATTAATAACCTCAAGATGATAATAAAATTTACATTGAAATCGAAATTGAAATACAGATCGATTTAGCGTGAATAGTCGATACATTTGGCGTTCGACAATTACTATTCTCGAATTCTGTGATAAAATAGATGAAGTTAAAGCATTTTGGTTGGCTTGAAAAGCGAAATACGAAGCAAACGTGTGAATTCACCGCATACTTACGCACCAAATGCATGTGCATACATATACATTGATATACGAATGATATCAAATGACACTTGTTGAATTCGTGTATGGCCTCTCGATCTTGTTATAATTCCCCCAGCGGCGGCTTCATTTAACTTCATCGGTTGAGCCAACGTATTCCTTTGTCCACCAGAAAGGTAAAAGCGCTTGACCACGGTAGAGTTATACTTGAATAGACTGCGTCTCACACTCTCACTGAATCACACATCGATACTTGAGCCAAGGTATTCCTTTGTCCACCAGATTTAGGCCGTATTCCCTGGCCCCAAAAGTCGCTTAGAAAACGATTTTTGTTGCCCCCCTTCGGGCACTACTTTAAATTTACATGAATCTATAGATTTTTATACGCTGAGTTCGAATTCACTTGTTGTCACTCGCACAAACCTGCAGTTTTTTTGTATTTTACGATCAAACATCAACATTTTTTATTAAAATTTCCGCCATTTTGTTCAGGAAACTTCATGTAATATACCGTTATTGTACTAGTTCAAGTCTCTTAGCAGGGGGGTTGCACGCGGTATTACGCATTTTTATCATTCTTCTGAAGAAAATATACAGAAACAAATAAAAATATAGATATGTTTCCACAATATTAGAGTGCGAAAGGTAATAATACATGTTTGTAAATAATCAGGAACTAATCTACTGTTCTTGTCATCCATAAAGACTCACTTGTCCTTGGTAAAGTTGTTTATTTTATTTATTATTGAAATTTTAGCCTTGCAATGTGAATAGGCAATTTTCCTGGGTATTGTCTACCTGAAATTTTTGTCAACAATAAAGTTTTGAAGGTTTTATCCCTTAGAGAGATTTCAAAATAAATTTTAACTTTGAAACTTTTAATCGCCTAGGCGAGCCAGCCCAGGTAACCCGAGTTGATTTCATCCCAGCTAGCCTGCGTAGCAGGCGGTAGAAGCTAGAAATACCGCCTGCCCAAAAACTACACATTCTGAGTTCCGCCCACCGCATGGTCCCGCCCATCTTACAGTAATGTATTTATTTTAATTATTTGTCAAACTCACGTATTTACACCAGTGCAAATATACGGCTTTGACGTTTCATATCATCGGTTCATTCAATGCTATGAAGACAAAAATACCACGTTCGATTCAGTGTAACAATATGTCCTCATTCATAGCGATAGTTTTAGTCGATGTCAACATTATAGCGATTTATGAGCTTTGAAAGTCAAGCGACTAAGCGAGTTCGTGTATTATCAAATTACGCAATTGTCTGAACAAAAATATAGACTAGCCATACCTTTCGCCGAACACAACTTCGGCCTCTTCAGACGTAACTTTGTAATAGGCTTGTTCCAATCGCTACCAAAAACACGACTTAGAGTGTCATTTACGAGCCTGTATCTTCAAATCTGCACTTTTATCACGGTATCACATCTTCAAGCAACAAATGTTGGATTGATATTCGTTGTTCATTCTTCAAGACGAAGCGATTTCCGATTCCAGATAAAGATTAAAGAATTCAACGCTTAATTCTCAATACATTCGTTATCTTTTGGTTAGTGTATGCCATCACTCGATATATCGGTATCAATTACGAAAACAACAATAGTTTATATTATAAATACGGCAACAGTAACTTCTAAAATTAGCACTAATTATTCTAATTCTGTACTCCTGTCAGTCAAAAATTCAAAATCAACATTCTGACCAATCAGATACCGCCTGCTACGCAGGCTACCAATCAGAATGCTCCGGCACCCAGCTGCCGGGGAGAACTCAGAATGTGTAGTTTTTGGGCAGGCGGTATTTCAAGCTTCCCATTCTCTCGTGCCCGCGAATACCGCTTGCTACGCAGGCTAATCCCAGCCAAATCAGATCATTGGTATCACTGCTATAAATACAGTAGTATAATATAATATTTTTTACTTCTCAAGATCTTGCCTAGACAGGCCAGCCCAGTTCCATATAAATGCAAGATGAATATTAGTTTAAATTACATAGCGACGTTAGATCTTGGCAAAGCGAGCTAGCTCGGGTATCCGGCTGGCTTGGGTACCCCTAAAGGAAATGAAGAAATGTTATTTACATCAATAGATTGATGTGAATAGAGTATTATTTAATGCCCAGCTGTTATCCAAGATCTAAGGCATGGAAAAAAGAGTCTTGGCTAGGCAGCTGGGCTAGCCCAACTGGAAAGATTAAGGTTTATGTAACTAATGCATATTGGTATGTAGGTATAGTGATGCCAGATTACTTTAAATTTCTAGGGCCTGCCTGGCCAAATATAAATTAATAAATTATCCCTTCTCCAAGTGCTTGGTAATGAGTGGCAGCTCAAATAGGATTAGAGCTTATTAAGGTGATGATTTATCATGACAATATGTTAATTGTTAAAACCTCAAATAGCTCGACCAATTCATGTCTCTGGGTGGCATGACTTTGAGATTTGCTTGTGTGAATATAATTTTTTGCTTAGTACCTTTGTTCCAGCAAGCCCATGCATATGCTTGCCTCAACAGTGTCATATAAATTGAAACACCAAGCAAGCTTCTTGTATTGTAGCTGTAATCAATTTGGGCTATGTCCTGTATGGCCACCATTTGCTAATGTAAATACTTTAATAACAATAAAGTGATTAAAAAAATATGGCTAATCTAGGCTGGGTTAACTCCATATAAACAGACCAAAAGTAGGCTGTCAGTCTGTCTTAGAGTGAAAGACATCTTCCAAAAGTTTTTTTTTATAAAGCTCAATGCCATGATAGCAAAAAGTTTATTATAATACAAGGAAATGGAACATACCATAGTTAATACCTGTAGAATAGATGGTTTGGAAACTCATTAGAATAACAATATAACTCATCTATGTTAGTCAACGTTTACAGAAGTGTAACTTAACACTTGCCCGGGGCAAGTGAATATCATGACGGGCAAGTAAACATTTTATCTTGTCCGATTGGGCAAGTTGCCTCTTGCCACAAAAAGCTCGGCTTTCATTATCGGATAATTTTTTATGGCGCATGTACTTATTCAAATTTTGTTTTTTGTGGGCCAAAGCTAGATCTAAGGCAGTATAACATAGCCATATAGAGCAGTGGGAGAATGAGTTGACATGTTGCCTCCTTGATTTATACCCCCTGGCAAATGAATTTTATTCAGGGCAACTAATTTTCATGTCCAATTAACTTGCCCTGAGAGCAAGTGGTCAAAAAAGTAAAGTTACACCACTGGTTTATTCATAAATCTGGTCTCTGTATTTTTGCCCAACTAACCAATAGCAATGTATTAGGAAAGTTACCTATCTGTGACTCGAACAATAGGGTAAATTGAAAATTGCAAGAATACAAGGTGAATTTGGCAAGAATACAATACACACATGAGGATGAAGGACCAGATTTATAATAAACGTTGACTAACATAAATAATGAGTTCCAGCCAAACCTTCTATTCTATGAGCTAATTTGATTGAGGTCAACTGCTACTAATGGGCAATGATCTATTTGTGTTAATAAATTATCTAGGTGACTAGGTCTAACATTTTATACTAAACAACAAATAGGTCTAACATTTATTAATTAAACAACAAGTATATTGTGCTCCTTATTCATTGTTAACAAAAATTTGAAAGAAAAATTGCCTATTCACATTGTAAGGCTAAAATTATGTACATAATTTCAGTAAAAGTAAAATAAACAACTTTACCAAGGACAAGTCGAGTGAGTCTTTGGATATAGCATAGTGACAGTCTTTGCAATTTCACATCAAGGTGAGGCAAAAAACCCAAAAGTTGGTACAATAAAGAATAGTAGATTAGTTCCTGATTATATACAAACATGTATTATTACCTTTTGCATTTTAATATTGTGAAAAAATACAGCCAATTGCAGTTGAGCTTGCAGCTTGCATTTTAAACGCGTTGTTGCATCGTTGAAAAGTATGCGTTCATTCCTTGGAAACACACCGTTGCTAGGGGCGCAACGTTAACTTTTGGCGCGCGTTGTAACGACGTAAACATGTTTTTCTATTCTTGGCGTTGACGAATTAAATTAGATTTTGTCACATTAAATTAGATTTTGTCACAAAACCGACCAGGGAGTTCTAATTTGACTGC